CAATGTGTCGTCACGAGCCGCAGGGTTTAATTTGGATTTGTCTGTGCATGTTTTTTTAACTCTCATAGATTTTGTTACCATTGCCATGCATTATACGACTGATAGACTGCAACGGCTGGAGTTTAAAATCATAATTTGTGTTCTACTGAAGAAATAAAGTCACCTACATCTTGGATGCCCGGGGGTAAGCAGAAAAAACATCTAATTTTCATTTTTGGGTGAACTATCCATTTAAGGGGGCAAATAAACAAACTGCAAACGACACTGAAGACGAACACTAAGAGGAGAAAATACTGTAGCAGGCAGAGCAAAACACTGATTATGACACACGAAATATTGGAAGAAAATCCTGAATTGGGGGTGAGGGGTGATATGAACTGACTGTCTTCAGAAAAGTTTAGATGGTATTCTTACCTCCACATAAAGCATATTAATGTTTACAGCGGTAATAAAGGAAACGCTGTATCACTGCTGTTCCAGAGTTAAAAATCATCAAATGTGTTCTACTGAAGAAACAAAGTCACCTATATCTTGGATCCCTGGGGGTAAGCAGATAAACATCAAATTTTCATTTTTGGGTGAACTATCCCTTTAATTTGTTTTGTATTTTATGCCTTGTATGAGTTATGTATTTTATGCGTGTTTGATTTATTCTTCTGTACAGCACTTTGGTCCACTTTGGTTGTTTTAAAGTGCTTTATTTTGATTGATTGATTGATTGATTGATTTTACCTAAAACAATGCATAACCTTAAAAATGTCTTTGTCATTTGATTTATTTTGAAAATATTACAAATTATAAAACTTCTAGGTTTAAAATAAAACAAGTCCAGCAGCATGTCTGAGAAAGTGCATTAAAGAAATCATACAAGATTTAGGCAACGTCCACACGAAGCCAGAGCTTTAGACCCGGTTTAAAAAAATATCGGTTTCATTCTCCATACAAAATTTATGCGTATACAGCTAAACGCGTCTCCGTGTGGACGGGGCCTTCATTTTATCCATAGTTCCTTACAGTGCATTCAAGATATAACATTTTCAAATGCATGTATTTTCTGGGCATGAAACCCATGACCTTTAGTCTAATACTCTAGACATTATGTAATAATGACCTAAGAAGAGGTTTATATATATATACACACTTACATAAAAACCTCAAGAAACAGAGGGATTTTGGTCAGATTTGGTCTCTTTCCCTCTTTGAGCAAAACTCAACTGAACCACCACCCCATAAACCCTGGAATTACCCGTCTCCCAGCAACCAAGTACTCTGTGTCCATGGAGACCAGCACACCTGTCCAATCAAGACAAAGTGTATTAAAACATTAAAAAACATTATTGTGGGGTTTTCAGACACCATGGCAACAAGAAGAGATAATCCTAAATTGCGGGATTATGGATGACCCGGTTAAATTAATGATTATTTTTTAGGATTTGACCTTTCCAGGGATAAATCTCACATGTGGCAAAATTAGCTAAAGGCCATTAATGTTTTCTCTAATCACTTTACAGATAACATTTTACAGAATTTACCATGTTTAGGTGTCAACATAAAATTACAGATACTGTAAAATAATTTAAAATCACATAAAAAATAAGTCAAGTATAAAAAATTTGCCAAGAATAAAATGGGCAAACAGCTACAATAATCCACAAACTCAGCCGGATTGGTGTTTTACAGCTAATCTGAGAGCAAGAAACTATTTCAGAGGCTGACATTTGGAAAATAATTCTAAATGTTTGGCTAAATTGACCTTTTCCAGTGGAGACTGAGACCAACAATACTTCTCTCTCTCTCGCTCTCTCTCTTGTCACACACACAAACACACACCCCTTACCCTCCTGGGCAGAAAGTGAAAGTTCTCTCATGAGTTCTTATGTAACCCTACCAGACATCTGACTGAACACGTACATTACGTAACCTCAGAGAGACGGAAAAGATACATGCTGTCAGATTCTGTTGCCTCACTTTATGCATTTTTTGGACAAGCGAAAGCGAGAAGCATCATCCATGAAAATTCAAATGCACACATATTTGAGTGTCATTTTTAGACTGTACGTAGAAGGCAGATGAAAGCTGAATAAAATCACCTCGTAATCAAGCATTTTCACATGTAGAGTATATATAACAGAATAAACTGGTGCAATTAAACATCCATCCATCTGTAAACATGTGAACGTTATCGAGTGCACCTCATGCTGGTGGACTAAGCGTTTTGAGTTGGTTACCATTAGAAAGACAACAAATTCATACCGACTTTACATTAAAAGTAAAATGAATCCATAAAACATTTATTTTAGATCTATTTGCTCGTTTTAATAGGGAGAAATGGATCAGGAAATGTCATGATTTGGATTTGAACTTGCGACGCTTAAGGCAAAATGCCGGAGGATATGAACTAACTGCCAGGCCTCGCTTTCGACCCCAACAAGATTATTAAAAACAAATCAAACTATAATAAACTAAAGCAGGGTGTTCCAGTTTTTTTTTGTGTGTGTGTGTGTGTGTGTGTAATGCAGGCCTAATGCAGTCTCCTGAGAGACACACCCTGCCTTATTTCCTGCCTCACTTTGAACGCACATAAACACCCTGAAAAAGCCAACTCTAATACAAGCGAGATCCCGTCTTGGACACCAGATGAGGTCTTGCTGCAGTGTAGGCTAAACAGGAAGCTGATTGTTTTATACACATACACACTAAAGATAACAACCTGTGTTAGACTCCGACTCAGTGAGTCAGTGTGAGAGTGTAGGATGATTATTACAAAAATAATCATGAGTGTTCACACACGGGAGAACCAAGGCTATATGACTGAGCATCAGACGCTGTGAGTGTTTGTGTGCAGTGTGAAATGTAGACAGACGTACGTGAGGAGACCAAATCAAGACGACTGACTAACACCACCACTGACTATCAGCTCCCACAGAAGACCCATCTTGCTCAACCTCTCTTCTTCTGTACCACTTTGTCTTCTTTCTGTGAGAAGCAATCAGTGTCACATTATCTCTTCTTATTCTATTTTGCAGTCTCTTCTCATATATATATCTTCTCAAGTTAGTATCACAATTATGTAAATTAGGAGGTGTGAACTCCACTAAAAAAAGGCGATTAATGACGATTATAGTGTACAAACCATGCAGAACAATGCTAGCATACTACCAGGGTTAGGGAGTAACGAAATACATGTAACGTTGTTATGTATTTAAAGTACAAAATATGAGTATTAAATGGGTGGTAATCAAATTACAGTTATATCCGAAAAGTTATATTTGTATACAGTTATATTGTCTATATGAGTTCTTGTTTTCTATATTTATAACATCTGGTATGGTTAAGCAAAATCAGTCGAGGAAGAAGAGTACTGTTTGCCTGAATATTAGCACAATTGCAAATATGACAGATTTTTTGCAATTCAAAATCAAAAAGTTAACATTACGTGACTTACATTAAAGAACAGTAGTTCTGATTTGCTCTATATCGCCAACAAAAATAGTTTCAAATATGGAGTGTCTATTTACACTAAGTGCACATAGCCCACCTTGTTGGCAGAGGCTATTTAGAGTAACTGCATCCACCAAAGTCTAGTTGCAATAGACATAAATACAAAAGACACATATTTAAAAACAACAGTGGTATAGAGGAATATAGAGGAACTTCTGACGCAATCGACCCGAGTTTGAATCCGCCTTTCGTTGAACTCGTTCTACTCCCCTTTTTCTCCCTTTTCCCATCACATATCAGATCAGAAAGGCATTTTTTTCAATAAAAATAAAGACAATATTCAAAAAGTGGAGTGACCAACTTGAACACACTGCAAAATCTGTTTAATGAAAAACCTTCACCTCACACAAAATTGCTAACCTCACTGATTCCAATTGAAATGGCCCACTTTAGTATGTTATTGCGAACTTAGCCATAATATCTTAGAAACTACCAGACAAAACATAGAAGTGCCATCTTAAATCCCACTGGCCAAATGCTCAAAGCCTGACAGAAGGACAACAGGTTGTGGAAACGTCAAAATAAAGTTGCGTTTACGTAGCCTGTGACGTAAACTTATGGTGGGATTGGGAACAGCTCTAGACTGTTGCAAACACCTACCCATCATAAATTTGCACCCTGACCCAGAGCAAAATCAGATTCACACAAACTCTGAGGCATCACATTATTTAAATATGTAATCTCATATATCACCATTCACCCTCAATAACAGACACTTTCTTTTCTCTGTAAATGCTTCCATCACCTCATGGCCAAAAGGATACGAGGTGTTCCCTCCGTTCGGCAGACGAGGTAGAGGCAAGCGGCGATGACATGGGATGATTTGCGCCCTCTGGTCAGATGCTTGGAGAGAGCCATCTTGTAAAAGTTGAAGGCAGTGTCCAGACAGTGCTGAGTCATTTGAAGCTGATGACCAAGATGGTTTATCTGTCGCTTAGCTGAATAAAACACAACCAAAACACCACAGTCAGGCTTTTTTACAGCACATTTACAGCAGGTTTAGTCCCTTAGAAGTTAACATGCAAACACACAATGGTAAAAGGTCCTGGTTTGCCCCTTCTGGGGTTTGAACCAACAATCTTTGGGTTACCAGTCCAACTCTATGTTCTGTTTAAATCTAAACAAACAAGAACAATTGAAGCACTTTGGAATTAATTATTTTAAACCAGACAGGGAGGAAAACTATTGCCTCATAGATTATTCTTGGTTTAGCATTTTCCTAAGCAAACATGGAACAGAAGTAGAGACAGATCTTTTCTTCCATATTTGAACGTACATTCAAGAGTAACAGATTAGCAGAAAAAAAACTATATTGTGGGGAAATACATTTTCACCATGTTTTAGGAAGAAAATCCTGTATAAATCAGGCAAATGATATATGAACAAACCCCTCTGCAAAACCCTTCAGAATATGGAATATGAATAAAACTGGAAAAATTCTGGTAAGTGTTACTGAAGAGTACATTTCCGTCTCAGTGCAGGAGAAACAAATTCATTTTAGATAAAATGTGATAAACACTTAAATATGCATCTAAACACTAAAATCGATCAATCAATCAAAAAAATTGACCAGTGTATGAATAGATAAAAAACAAACAATGGTTTTGCCTGTAGTCCTGCTTTAGGCAAACTAAATTATTGGAGAAGTCCTCCATACATCACCAGAGAGAGGTCGATCATTTGGATACATCATTCACAAATGAGATTTTAACACGAATTTTAGAAAGCAGATAAGGTGAAGTCTGGTATAAATATGGTGAAGCGTGTAATTTTGTGTAATTTTCCTATTCCAGTTGCAGTGGACTATAAGTAATGCCTCTACTATAAGTAATAAAGTAGGGCCTCTACTATTTTTAAAGTTAACACCAAAAACTGATAGTTTAACTATACTCAAAATACTTACAGCAATTATGTGTTTTTCTACAAAGTTACTTCAAAGTAAAGGTTTAGTTACATTCTGTCTGAGCACCTGCTGTGGACGTGCTGTTTGAGAACACATATGAACCCCTTTAGAGTGGGAGGAGAGCATCTTCAAGCTGAAAGCAGGTCTGTTTATACAGACTCAAGATCTCACAGAGCATCTTTTGTTCTCTCACCACACACAGATAGTATAAATCTTGATGCAGACATGAGGCCATTAATCACACGTGTACATTCCCACACACACACACAAATAAAGTGGCCTCTGCATTTCCCTCCCAGCACACACAGACCATACGGTTTGTCTGACCAAACTGATTCATCGGTTACTACACAAAAGCGCACAAACGCACCACACCTTCTGACTTCTCATGCTTAATAAGCCTCTTTCAAAACAACCATTACCATCTGGCTGAAACGAACCTCACACACTTAACTTGAAACCACATTGCACAAGCCCACAGCTTCCAAAGAATCCCTCTTTCTTATAAACACAGGATGCATATACTTAACCATCTTGCTCAATCATGTTGTTCAATGGAACGGAACATTATACGAACATATCTAAAACACACAATACTGTACAAGTTTTAAATTGTCAGTGACACATAGTATTGTCTCATACTGACAGGAAATCAGTTTTGAAATGCTTTGGCAAACTTGGGAACTACATATTACAAAACACAATTTATACCTTTAAATAAAAAAAGACAAAACAGACTTTACAATGATACATATATAATGCAAAGAACATGAAATTTGTATGATAGAATTAACATCTATAGCTCTGTATGAAGGAATCAAGGCAAAGCATTCAAATATTTATATTACAAACTCTATGAGAAATGAATGAAAGCCATATAAAGGGTATAGAGGTACCTTAAGCATGTCACATAAAATCGAAAAAGTTAAAACCATTAAGCAATTTGGGATCACTATGATTTTTTTTTTTTTCAAAAAGTGTTGTTTCTCCTCTATGCCCCGCCTTTCTGAAACGCGTTGATTTTTACAAAGCTCATCGGTCTGAAAAGCGAGGTGTGCTCTGATTGGCTTGCTATCCAGTGCGTTGTGATTGGCCGAATACCTCAAGCGTGTGACGGAAATGTTACGTCCCTTACCATATTGTGATGCCCTGTCCGGCCGGAGCGACAAGACAAAACCAATAAAACCCATTATAAACGAGGCATTTGTTGTATCAAGTGGGGACATAATTACTCATTACAATGACTTATACTGTCTTTTTACGCGTTGCGTTGCATATCGCGCTGCATAAACATAAAACCACGTCTGCATTTGTGATCGGAGAAACAACAAGCCTACTCTACACTGCTCAAAACTCGCGAATCATCAGTGGCAAATTATTTAAATATAAAAAAAATACTTAGGCTGTGAGTCAGAAGCGCCAGACTGTCCTTGGAAATGCCCAACTTTATAGAAACAGCTTTTGTGCCACAGACGCAGTGTAGGCTACTGGTTCAGGAAACAGTCCTCATCCTCCATAAAATGCGCAGCACACATCTGAATATTTGGGTTGAACTGTTCTGGAACAGTGTTGTAAATACAACTTAACCACTGATTTCCAGTGTCCTCTTTTGGAAGACCCAACAAAGTAATTTCGCTTTCACAACGAAACACACAGCGACTCCACAACATGGCAGCGGCGGCAACAATACTACAGCAAGAATTAAAGTTACGCCTTCATTTTTTGCGTGCACATTTGGGCGGCGTTATACAAATCTTCCCACATCGTGACGTAGATATGTGGGGGCGTGTTAGAACGAGCCATTTTAGGTAGGCGTGGTTGACTCTTAACTTTTATAAAGAATATCTCTTTGGATTTGAGACTTTAGTCTTTGCAACTTTACAGATCTTCTTTATGCACCAAGTGCTTGTAACACTCCAAAGAGAAAGGAAAAATTTTAATCGCATCATATGACCCCTTTAATACTTTTATTCAGAGTGGACCGATTAAAATGCATAAAAGTAACAGTAAAGTAATTTATCATGTTACAAATTATTTCTATTTTAAATAAACACTGTACTGTTGAACTTTCTATTAATTAAAGAATCCTAAAAAAATGTATCATGTATCCAAAACTTTAAGCAGCTGTTTTTAACATTGATAATAATAAGCACTAAATCAGCATATTAGAATGATTTCTGAGGGATCATTTGACACTGAATTCTGGAGTAACGGCTGCTGAAAATCCAGCTTTGTCATCATATAAATAAATTAAATATATTAAATGGAAAACAGTTATTTTAAATGGTTATTAGTTTGTCTAATCAAATAAATGTGGCTTTGGTGATCAAACTTGCAAAAACATTTTTAACAAAAACTTGGTAAAATGAAGGGCATATGAATTCTTCATGAATGGCATATACTGCATATGAACGCTCACCTTTCTGCAGAGTGGCAGCTCTGGACTCCCTCCCAACCCCAGTGTGGAAGTTTCCTCCCAATGATGGCACATTTCCAGATGCTACAACGAAGCAAAAAATTAAATATATTAGTAATGAGAACAGGAAAACATTCATCTCATAACCAAGCATTACAGTATGTCTTTTCAATATCAATACTTTAATTTTTTTTATTATTATTATTATTATGCCTCTGTGAAGCACTTTGTATTACCACTGTGCAAATAAACTTGGCTTGCCTATTAATCTTCAGCTTACCCAATACTTCTAATGAATTATCTTACAAGAAAGGTAAAAATAACACCCATATTTAAATCTAATACTAGCCAAATACAGATGAGCATTTTTTTTTAACAAGCTAAGATGTCGCCTCGGATGGCCGCCTTGGTGTGGAGCTCTACAGTTGTACCACATCCTGCACTTCAATAACTGTCTGGTTTGGCTTAGCTACAAAATCAGATATCAGAAGAATACAGAGGATGGTTCTGACTGCTGAAAGGATTATTGGTGCTCCCCTGCCCACCCTTCAAGAACTGTATACATCCAGAGTGAGGAAAAGGTCTCAGAAAATCACTCTGGATACCTCACATCCAAGGCATATCCTTCTTGAACTTTTGCAGTCTGGTCGGTGCTACAGAGCCCCAAACACCAGGACAGCCAGGCACAAGAAAAGTTTCTCCCCCCAGGCAATCTACCTTATGAACAGTTATGAACAGCTCTCCCCATTGTGCAATAAAAATATGTGCAATGTCCACTTATATTTATTTGATACCACCCTACATCTTATTCTATTCCATCTATAGCACACCTGTACATACAATTTTTGTCTATTTTTATTTATTTATGTATATACATGTGTATTTTATTCATATATCTTTATTTTTTTATTATCTGTGGGTTGTTGTTGTTTTCGCTGTGTACTGGAAGCTTCTGTCACTAAAACTAATTCATTTTATGTGCAAACATACTTGGCAATAAAGCTCTTTCTTACTTCTGGCAGGCAGATTCCACTATCAGTCTTCATTGCAAGATATTATTAAATAAAAAACATGACAGCCATCTGCTGTTTGAAGATGGTATTGCAGTTCAAAACAAAATCTCCCTTTTCCCGCTTAAATAAGTCTGGGGAGGAACCATCTGTATATTTAAATATATATTAATATTAAATATTAATTTGACTATTATTAATTTGATTAAACAACTTGCCCCCGTTTGAATTATCATACTAGGTTGTTCTATAAACAGTTTTCAAAATTGTGTGAAGGTTATAAAATTCATAAAAGTTAGATTATTCAAAACTAGATATTTCGTCCAAGAAATTCCTTGAACATTGTATAAAAGCAGAAACTGATTTTAATAGCATATAAACACAGGCTGATAGGTGACTGAGAGAACATTACAGATCATTTAGGTGATTTACAACTCAAAAGAACAGTTTCCAGTCAAGGTTACTAACAACCCTATCTAATGGATGCCTCTGTTTGAACATTTAAGACAATATTTCCACAAATCCATTCTTATCTAATTCCCTATGTGAGAGAGAATGAGACAAATGGACATACAGACAAATAACAGGAGAGGAAACAATATAGCTTTTGTTTGTTTTGGTTTCATTCTGATCTTCTGAGGTACATAGATAGCATATTCAGTTTCTCAAAGCTCAAACGAATTATTCCTTCATTTATATATTCAAACAAATTAAACAAATTCAGAGCAAAATTGTCTTTGTGTGGAGAAGATGAACCATCACTCACAGTCACCAGCAACAAATTGGCCGACGGCGGACAATCCTCCTCCACTGTTCTCTACGAAGGTTACCTCGGAAACGATGATGTTGTCTTCCAGCACAGAGCCGCAGCCCATGCACACAGCATCGCCCCGTGCCTGGTCCACATCAATGTCCGTCCCCCCACAGTTCTTACACCTCCTCATGGTCACGACCAATCAGCTCACACAACACTGAGAATGATCTCTACATGCATGTAAAAACACAATAGAGAACACAGAGTGAATCCTAGGCAGAGCTACATCTAAGGCAAACGGCATCAATGGCAAACTGAGAAAGCAATATTATGGACAGAGGACTCATATTTTAGCCGGAAGCAGTGATTTGAAATTAAAAACATCTTAATAATGGATTTGTTTATTAAAAACATGAGCTTTTCGCTTCACAAGACTTTAATTGATGGAGTCATGTGGATTATTGTAATGTTTTTATCAGATGTTTGGACTCTCATTCTGACGGCACCCATTCACTGCAGAGGATCCATTGGTCAGCAAGAGATGTAATGCAAAATTTCTCCAAATCTGTTCAAAATTTCTCCAAACCTATCTACATTTTGGATGGCCTGAGGTAAATTTTCAACAAATTTTCATTTTTTGGGGTGAACTACTCCTTTAACAACAGTTATTTTATTCTATTGACAGCCCTAGTTTTAAACAAAAAAAAATGAACACCAAATCTGTTTTGTATTATCGTTTTGGTAACACTTTACATTAAGGTTTCATTTCTTAACATTAGTTAACTACATTAGTTAAGATGAACTAACAATGAAGAATACTTCTACAGCATTTATTAATGTTAATTTTCGACATTTGCTAATATATTTTTAAAATCAAAACTTGTATCTTTTAACATTGGTTAATGCACTGTGAACTAACATGAACAAACAATGACAAACTTATTCTTAAAAATAACAACAGTAAAAATATATTGCTCATAGTTAGTATGTTAATTATTGCATTAACTAATGTTAACAAATCAGACCTAATTGTAAAGTGTTACCATTATTTTAGAGGTTGGAACATCTCACTTTATTAGTGTGAAGTAGGGCTGTGCGATATTGAAGAAAAATGCGATATGCGATAGCTAATTAAATAATGCGATATGTGATATGATAATGCTTAAAGTGCCACGTGCTCAGATGAAACAGTTTTTTAGGTAAGAGCAGTGAGTGATTTTCTCTTTGTCTTTTGTTCATGGCCCCAAATATTGCAAGCTGTAGCGATATGCATATTGTGATATGTACATTTGCAATATTTCGATAATTTCGATATTGCACAGTCCTAGTGTGAAGAATAAAAGACATGTTGCCAATTTAATACAAAATAAATATTCTTCACATACAGTCCAGGGCAAAAAAAGGTCAAAGCCCCAAATGGCTAGACACTAAGCTTTTAATGGTCTTTACCACAAATTATTACAGGTAAAGAAATTAGCAAGAATTGAGTAAATGTACTCCTTAAAAAGCCATTGCTGTCTCAGAAAATACATCAAAGACAGAATGAAGTTTTTGGCAGAGTATGGGAAGTTTTATTTAGAGTGGTTCAGCAGAGTTGTGTAGTGTGATTAATTGTGATAGAAAAGGAGTTGCACGGTGATGCACCAGAGCGGTGTCTTTGAAGATTTGGTGAGAGATACAAAACTGAATGCATCTCTACCACAGTGAAGCATTGAGGAAGATGTGTGATTATGTGTGGAGCCCTTTCAGCTGCTGGTACTGGTGAGCTGCTTCACTATGAAAAGTCAATTAATGCTTTGGAATTAATGCAAATATTGCAGAATAGCTTGCTTCCCAAATGAAAAGTTATCTAAAGAGGAACAAGAAAATGCTCCTTCCCACACTGCAAAGACAGCCAAGAAGAGGCTTGAGTCCATCAGGTTCATGTTTTGACCTGATCACAGTCCAGATCTGAACCCTATAAAGAATATTTGGTCTCACATTAAACTCCAACTAACTAAATATTTAGACATTTTGGCTTGGCTCATTTTTTCTAGCCCAGGAGTGTATATTTCAGTATTACATTTATTAATAATGATTACATTTTTTTAATAATAATTTGAATTGGCCCTAGTATATTGACAATATAAAAGTCAATTATTTAATTTTGGAGACAACATGTATTTGTAATGCCACACAAAAATCGACAGCTGTCTTATTTTTAAGGAAGAGATCTTTTTAAGGAAGAGATTTGGTATCACAACGTGAAAACACCTGTGTTACATAACATTCAGTGTTGTGGGTTCCCAGGTGATAAATTTGGCATCACTGGTCTAGGAACAACATTCAATTCTCATGTTAAACAGCAGCGCCGCTGAGAGCTCACGAAGCAAACTGCGCCTCTAACAAGCCCACGATGCATACTGACACAATCGGTAACCATTTGAACGCCCAGGCCCCAGGACCATATAAAACAGATCAGATCCTCTAAATGAACATGATCCTTGAGAGTCAAATGAAGTTACGCTCTTCTAATCACTGTCATGCAATCAGCACCGTTGCATCCAGCTTGCAACGTGGCAATCTTCTACATGGCAAGCAAATCTGGAATTCCCTAAAATCTGTTGAATAACTGTACCTATCTGTGCAGATGTCGACTGGTTAATTATTAAGATTAAAAAAGAAGAAGTACCTCGAACTGTTGGAAGATAACCAAGCGCAGGCTTCAGCTGTCTGTCCAGAGAGCCCGTAAAATGCCTTTAAGTTCCTGTCTGTCGAGGTTACAACTGTGTATTCTTGCTTATCAGTCGTTTTACAGGCTGTATCATTGATTTATTAACCAAAAACTGTGATATATTTCTCTACATGACAAGCCGGCAAAAACAGCCACATGTTTCCAGTCAGCGTGCGATACGGCTCATACCAATTTGAGTGCAGAGGGGGGTGTCCGCGTCCACTATAATACTGTAGAGACAATGGCACCATATTATAAACGCTAGCGTTCTTTTTTTAAGTAATTGTTACTCAAAAATATGTAAGTATAAAAGTATAGGACGCAAAATATCTCGTTGCTTGTTTTCCCTGGGTGATGACATGGTCGGAAATGCACTGATCACACTGTTGCAACTTTGTGTTCAACACACACACATATATGGATTTGAGGAAGCAGCAGCGTGGAATTCAAGGCTGTAGCTAAACGGAGTTTAATTTATTAGGGCATTCGTCATGTGGAATGGATTTGACTGACGGCGCTTTGAAAAGTACACATAATCGCTGAATTAAGGACGGTAAAAGTGGGTGGGTCCAATATCATTGGTCTTCAAAAGTGGGTGGGTCCTGTCCCACCCTCATTCAGTGGT